AAAAAAGAAAGCAAACGCTATCATCCCCTTCCTTCATCCCATTTGGCTTCTTGAATCCTTCCTTGCCATTTGGCTTAATAGCCAACAACAGAACTGGTTGTGAAAAGATAAATTTGGATACATTTGTTGCAATAGGAGTTCTGGTTTCCATCTCTGCTAGCTGACAAACCCCAAGTGTTTATGTCATCACTAAAGTCTGTGAAATGCTGAGTGGTTGTCAATGGGGTCACACCTATTTTTCTCATCCTAATGGCATGTGTATTTAACTGAAGTCCATATTTGGGAGCTGTAAGCAGATAAAAAATGTTATAGAATAGCAGATAACTTTTAAAACTAAAGACTCGATGGCAAGCATAAGGCTAAGTAAACACAACTTTCATGTGTTAAGATGGATTGCAGCCAACCTCTAACAGTCCTTCACAGTTTTTACTTGTTTTCCCACACATGATCTCTTTTGATCCTTGCAACAACCTTGAGATACTTCAGTCACAAATAGCTGTTATTCCTACTTCAGAGCTGAGGAAACTGAGTCCCAGAGAAGTTACGATGGTTTTCCTAAAATCACAATTCTAAGCAGCAGTCTGTATAGAGCTAAGTTTTCTAACTCCAGACCCATTTTCTTTTTATTATGTGTTGCTGCTTTCAACTAAATATATAAGCCATTACGTTAGGGACAGACTTTCAAAACAACAAGCATTTTGCTGGTTTTTAAAAGCTATTAGCAACTGCACAGAACACCAAAGTCTAGAGCAGACAGACACAGGGCCAAGGTATTTGTAACTTAAATCCCCAGTGTGTTCACTCTTGAACTTGACCTTCCTAGTCATAAAGCTTCTCAGTCGTTTTGTTTAATTTATGCCATGTAATTATTTGGGGGAAATGTAAATCTTAGACATCAAATTCATATAATAACATTTTATTATACTTGCTTTACCACATATCTACCTCTATCCAACCAGCAACCCACATTATTTTTCTGAAGTTTCAGACATCAGTAAACTTTAACCCTAAACTGTTCAGCATGCATATCATTAACTAGAGTTCAATATTTGTTTATGGATCTCTTTTCTTTTTAGGTGAAATTTGCATATAAGCAAATGCACATATCTTAAATGTACCATTCTATAAGTTTTGCCAAATGTATACATCCATGTAAATCAAAACTCTATCTAGATACAGAGTATTACCCCCATTCCAGAAAGTGTCCTTTCCTCAGGCCCCCTCCCCGCCAATTCCCTCCCCACCACTGTTCTAATATTTGTCATTGTCGTCACTATTGATTAGTTTGATCTCTTTTAGAATTTCATATAGTATCATATAATATTTACTCTTTTGTATTACAGATTTTCTCACTCAAGATCATGGTTTTGAGGTTCATCTGTGTTGTTTTGTGTATCACGAGTTTACTGCTTTTAATTGTTCAGTATTATTCTATTGTAGGAATATTAATTTCTTTATACACTTCCTTTTGACAGACACCTAGCCTGTTTCCAATTTTGGTCTATTCTAAATAAATCTACTATAAACACTATTGTAGAGATATTTTTGTGAATATTTTCAGTTCTCTTCATTAAATACCTAGAAATGGAATTGCCAGGTCATAGGGTAGGTGTATGTGTTCTTTTATAAGAAACTTCCAGGATTACTTTCAAAGGTTTGCACCATTTTAACCCTTTGGTAAGAGTCTTTGTTGCTCCACATCATCATCATTTGCCATGGTCAGTCTTTTTAATTTTAGCCATTCTGGTGGGTGTTCATCATATTAGTTTTTGAATTATAAAAGCATTTCCATCATCAAGGGATGACTTGGGCAATATCCATATTCACGTACCCCTATTACTATATCAGTTCAGGTTTCTTAGGCCCTATGATTAAGACATTAAATCCTAATTCCCATTTCCAAGGAATTGATTGAAAGATTTATAATTTGGCAGTTCCTTTAAATATTTTTGCATTCGACTTGAGCTCTAAATCTCTGAACTATTGTCAAAGTTCATTTTATTGGTGTTTTCCTATTAATAATAAGGCTTTCAAAATGGTCAGTTTAGCTCTTGACTTACAAAAGATGGAAAAATAAATAATCACAACCTAGTCACTAATTTGTAAAATTTCTTTGACCAAATTGAGGGAGAATCACTTCAGGGGTGAGTCTCATAGACCTAAACTTTGATTAAAAAGTGTGGATCATTTTAGACTAAGCATAACTAATATATAATAAAGTTACCTCCAGGTTGAGTTGCTTTCAGACCTGGAAGAAGTCCATAGGTCTAATTTTATTTTAATGTAAAGGTTTCCTCAAGCTTTATAATTTATCCTTAGGAAGTTTTAAGCCTTTAAATTGCTGTTTTCTTGGCTTTTCCTCTATTCTCCATGCTCTGACTCTTGCTCATTTGTTATGAAAATAACCTGAATGTTCTTAATGCTTTTCAGTCCACTACTTATAAAATTATACATATTATAACCCTTTTGACAATTTGTCTCTTAATGAACTTTTAGTAATTAGTAGCTGTAATACAGCTTAGTGCTCTAAAGTGGAAGAAATAAAATGTATAAGTCTCCAAGCTAGTGTAACCTCGTCACGGCATCATGAAACACTGACATGAAAGATAACTTTTCCACTGTTCTTTAACTAGTTCCTTTCTTTCTCTATACTTTAATTTTCCAAGATATCAAGGGATAATCTATGAGTATACGTATGAATTATTTAAGCAGAAAATTTGTAATGCAACTTTAGCATCAATTAATATTTGTTTGGAAGATTGTATTTCTTGTGTTACCTATTTAGTTCTTCCCCATAACACTCAGAAAGGGCGGAATAGTTTCACAGTTTCTAGAATCTCCATCAATTACAGAGGCATTAGGGAGATGGCACCCAAAGAAGTGTTATGAATCAAGCATTTTAATCTGTTTTGACTTGCCTTTTTACAGAAGCTTGTAATACATTGCTTTATTTCTCTCTGTTTAGCTATAAAATAATAAACAAAATATACTGACTCTTAAGATATGTTAATATGGTAGTCATTTCTTTAAATTACATAAAATGTCATCTATATATGAGGTTTGCATATTTTGGGAACTAAGCCACTAGGCACATATTTTGTACTTCTGAAAATAAGACTACTCTATGGCTTGGAAGGATACTGCACTAGCTAACTGTTCCACTCATCAAATGTACAATACATACAACAGATTCATTATAGGGTTTTTAAAAAAATCTGCTCATGAGCCACCAGGGCAAATGTCATGCGTAGGTGAAAATAGGCAGCTGGGATTGGGATGATGAAGCAGTACAAAAAAGACCTGCCTGCCTTAGAATATTTTTCCCTCTAGCCTACCTTTGGAATAAGACACTATCTTCACATTTTTCTATCAAAAGCAATGTATTAGTAGGTAATATCTCAGGATGACTTTTTGTTACATGAACCGTTAATGTTCATTATTCCTTCAAAGTCTAGCAGAGCTATGAGGGGATGGGACACAGTCAGAGACATTTTAAAAGGCTGAGGTGATATGAAATAATGAGACGTTGTGTATGCATGGCAGAGGGGGTGTAGAGAAATTCCAGGTATCAGGAGGACAGCGCGAGGGTGGAAGGCACTTGTGGGAAGAAGCTCTGAAAGAAAATCTGGGACTATTGCCAAAGATTGCTCCCAATATTGGCCTAGGGCTGGACCTGAGAGGCACAAATGAGAAAATAATGTAGTCTTATTTTTCAAATAAAGCCGCATTTTGCACATAAGCTCTTTTGAGTCACTTTATTCTTTCTGACATAGGAAAGACATAGGATGACTGTGCAGACATCACTGGTACTGAAGCAAAGGATTTTGCATTTTCTTGTGTTATATAAGCCAGACAGACAAACTCTGGCTCATCTGCTAAATAAGTACTGAAAATGAAAGCTGTCATTATAAAATGCTGTGTAAATACAAAATCTTTTTACTGTGATTCTAGAACTTAAATAATTTGTATATCATTTTTTCCTGATAATTACCCCTGTCATTTTGCCACTGACCCACTTTACAAAGGAATCAAAACCAAACATTGCTTTATTTAATCAGACTTCATTGCATTTTAAATGAATGGGGATAAAAGTAAAGATAGGACAATTGACAAGGGTTCTCTTTTAGGCTCCTTCCATTTCTAATCTCTCTCTAAACTTTTGTTTAGTTTGCTTTATTCAGCACATGCTAATTTAGTTGCATATAAAGTAGTTTAATGGACAAGTAACTTCTCTCTTAATCAAAAAAGAAAAGTGATCACTCCATGTTTTATCATATTCATATTTATATTTATATACTTTATTGTAGTTAATAGAGAAAGGCTTAAGGACTTTAGAAAAATTTTTGAAACATAATTCAGTATTTATTTATCTTTAAATTGTTAAGCATAATTATTAGAATTTTATTATTTTTTCTTTTTTTATAAAAATTTAATTTTTTTCATTAAGAACATTTGGCCTCTCGTAAATTAACCATAGGAAACAACAATAAAGGAATATTCTTTAGATTGAGACAAAATTCCTTAATAAAAAAAAATCATATTTTGGCTCTCTAAACATATTTTGCTAGGGTCTTAATATTAAAGAGCCATCTTACAACTGGCAATTGAATAGCTCTTCATTCATTTCTCTAAAAAATAAAAGTTTTTAATCTCTTCTTGCAGGCAAGGAGATTTTTATGGTTTAAATATATTTTGGAATTTGTTCCAACAGTTAAACTGAAAATGTCTGATATTTTCAATTACTTAAAACATTTATGATTGTAAGCTCCCAGCAGAAATCTGCTGTTGAAGGGGGGAAAACAATTAAGAGTTGTTAGTCAGAAAGACACTTATGTAAGAACTACGACATTGGTCATTGGTTTGAAAGCAGGAAGTCCTATATTTTAGACTCAAAGCTTTACGAAGCTTTATTGAGCATTTTTCCTCACAGAGCTAAGGCAAATGGTCGATGAGTAAAATCCTGAGAATATTCACAGCTTTTCTCTTTCATTCTGTTACAGCCCGGAAGATGGTGAGATCCACCCAGAAATCTGTCGGCTTTATATCCAGCTACAGTGTTGCTTAGAAATGTACACAACAGAGATGCTAAAATCCATATGTCTCCTGGGGTCTCTTCAGTTTCATCGAAAAGGTATCTGTTTATATTTAATATATTGTCACAATCACTGAGGAATGTTAAACAAAAGCTCATCTTTTGCAAAGTACCTATATGTACTACATGTCTATCTACACACAATCAGAATTGATGTAAACATCCAGGAAATGTTTGATATAAATTAACAAAAGAAGTCAATGTCTGTACTAAGTGCATAAGAACATTGATCACCTTGAACAGAAATTATGGTAGAGAGAGTTCTCAATTTATTATCTTACCACTTATGAACATGACTTTGGTTAGAATAAGCATAGGCATCAAAAATATATAATGATCTTACGAGGCTAGTAAATGCTATCCAAGATTGCTGCTGTTTCTCTAAAATGAATTAGCTTGCAAGAAGACAAATTACATATTGTATTCCAAAGATCTAAAAATAGGGGAAACTCAACAAACAATAGGGAGGCATATTACTAATAGAAAAATCTCATTAACAGGCTTAAACTATAAAGGGAGTATATTGGCTGAGATGACTGAAGCCTCCAGCAGTGGCAATGGCTTCTGTGTGCTTTGATCAGACTACTGACTCCCATTCTCAGTGATGTTTGGTATCAGCTTTACACTTAGGCTGCCTTCCCCCACATTAGCAAACTGATTGTAATAGTTCCAGTCATCACATCTGCATACCACAGGATCCATAAATAGATATAACACCTTCCCGTTACAGACTAGCAAACATCCTGAACTTCATTCTGATTGGACAAGTTCAGATCATGGGTCTACATTTGAACCAATGACTGTAACCAAAGGGATGGAATTATGTGACTGGTTTAGACAATCAAGGTCCATTCCTGGAACTAGCAGAGGGTCAACCCATCCAACCAGTGGTTATTACATGGTGGGAGAGGGTGGAATGGAGTGGATGCTGGGAGGAAGCCAAAAGTTTCCACTACTAGAGAATTCAACCTATGTTTTCTTTAATTCACTGAACAATAATGGAACCTCCTGAATGCAAACATTTTGTGCTTGAGCTCAGGAGAATACTTGCCTATGATTTTAAATTCAGAGGTAGAAAAGTAAACTAATACTCAGGGAAAATCTTGTAGAAAGGGTGGGACTTGAGCCGGGTTGTGAAGATAGGGTTCCCGTAAAGAAAGAAAAAGAAAAAGAAAAATTTCTTCGGGTGAAGAAATAGAGATTTTAAATCAAATGAGCATGCAGTTTGGAGGGAAATAAATGATACTTATAAAAATCAAATCTTGTATACACACATACATATGCACACAGCAGGACTAAAAACAATATTATGCCATGCTGCTCCAAAGAGAAGAGAACGTTTTCTTGATATATGAATATTATTTATTTTTCTTTGCATTCTAAGGCTGAATTTTTAAGGTTTTTTTAAATCTTTATTTCTGTTATTAATACAAGTGAACATATTTGGAGAGATTAGCTCCTTGACACTCCTGAAGCCTGACCAGATAATTGGGTATCAGACATAATAACGACATCCTAATAGGTTGTCACGGCCCGGTGTCTTTACTTGTCCTCTCGTTCGCTTGCTCACTCGCACACACATTCACACATAAACACACAGAGTAGAATTTTCATACTTTTTAATCATGGTTGAATAGACTTTTTAATCATGGTTATGGATATTTTTGTCTCAGGTCTGCATTGACTACACCTGCAGTATTTCATGCCCGTGTTGCTACTAGAATCTCCCTTGTTGATGACATGTCCTTAATGCTCAGTGACCTCCACCCCAGCTCTGACTCCTCGGTTTGCCACCTGGTCTCCTTCTGCTGTCCACTCCTACTTTTTATCTTTTCACAACTGACTTTTGAAAAAAAAAACAAACTCTTCTCTGCTAGCTCTGTTTAAAAGTAAAAGGGCTTCTCTCATCCAGATTTCCTCATTATATTTGGTCTTGAGCAAACAAATAAAAAACACGTCACGTCTTAACTGATCAGCTCATTTGGTCTTCACAATCTCTGATCTACTTCCTTCCCTTCCTTTTCTTTTAAAAATAATAAACCTCTGCTCCCTGCTCTAGTGCCTAACCTATGTACAACTCTAAAAAGAATATGCTTGATAGCATCTTTGATTTCTCCTCCATGTAGAATTAAGTCTCCACTTGGAGTTCTAGTTTATTCTTCTGAAGTCATTATTCCTTAGAAAATATGCTTCAAAAATATCCAGGATGCTGGATAAACGTGCAGACTCCTGTTATTGTCCAGGACCCACTGAATCAGAATCTCTCAGGGCATTCCAGGTGATTCTGAAACACAATTAGAGCTGTTGCTCTACGCTTTGAAACAAAAGCAAAACCATTCCACTATATAAATAAAAATTAAAACTCTCAAGCTCTTCCCTTGTCATTCTCTATTCACCTAAGTAGATGTTTTTAATTTTGTTTTATGCTTTCTTCTTTATCCCCCAAGCTGATGAAAAGCAAATACAAAAGTGGTAGGTACTTCTGATGAGCTCATATAGCCTGTTTTTTTCGATAAACCTTTGACGTGATCACTGAAATAAGGCTGTGGTTCTTAAAGTGTAGTCTCTGAACTAGCATTGTCAGATCAGCATCACTTGTTAAAACTTCATATTCTTGGGTCCCAACCCAGACCTATTGAATCAGAAATGCCTTTAAATTTATTTTTTTGATGTTGAAAAAAAATTAAAAGAACATTTTATTGGGACACTTCCTTATCTGAATTTATTTATAACCTTCTGATCACCATCTGTAATCAGCAAACCATACCGATTTACTTAAAAAAAAATATGTACATACCATCTACTTCTAGAAAGTTTCTTGTGATTCTAGACTGCCCATCTAACAGGTAATTATCTTATAGATTGCTGTCTTTCTTTGGGTACCAGTAGTTAAAGTAATAAGGAGGTGACTTCCTTTTTAGTGAGAAATTCTCAAACCAGGAGTAAAGAAAATAATAATATTTAGGGTTAAAAAACTATATTGAAGACGGAAATAAGTCACTAGCAGTGAGCACCAAGGATAATATCATTAAACCAAAGAATATAAAGCACTAGAAAACAGATGCATGAAAACACTTGAAAATTTTCCTGGAAATTTCTAGAATGCCAAATAAAATATTAGCTCTTAGAAGAGAAATGGTTCCATTAAAGAAATCACTTTTAATTTGCCTAGACCTATATTTGTATCAAACTTCTTTTCTATTTCTTTATTCTCTCCATTAATTTTTTCATTACACCTAAGAGATTAACTCTACAGTTATTGTTTTGGACTTCTGGCTTTTTTGTACTGTTTGCTAATCTATAGTCCCACCACCGGGATAGCATAGACAATGTCAGCTGATGTCAAAAGCTTTTGTTCCTTCTTGTTTCGGTATCATTGGAAACTGTGGCATAACCTGTCTGTGTCCAGAAGCCTCTAGCTAACACACAATAAGTATATGAAATCCGCTGCTAATTATCCAGGAGGTCCTGTTTGGAAAGAATAGAAATATTTAGCTTCACTGATCATGGGCTGCCAGAAATGAGTCAAGAGAAAAATATGTCCACAGACCATAGCACAGAGTATTAACCTTTAAGAGAAGAGCTGGTGAATCAGAATCTCAGAGAGTGGGCTCTCGGGGATGAGCACTTAAATAATCTCTCTCAAGTGATTCTAACATGCAGTCAGGGTTGAGAAACACAGCTGAAGTAAGTAGAATGTCTAAGCTGACTGACAGAAGTCTCTTGAGATTGACTTACACCCTTGCTCTGATTCTAAGCCCACCAGGCTACCCTCTGATACTTGGCTTCCCATGTGACATGCTCAGAGGGAGAGAGAAAATGCACTATCTGCTGATGTGAGTGCTCTGGTCTGCTCTGCAAATTAAATTGGCTTTACAAATAACACTTTCTTTTTGCAAATTAATATATGGACTTCTGGTTTTAAAAAAGAGAGAGAGAGAAGAGTTGAGAAAATTAAGAAATGTAACATGTGTCTTGCCCTGGAAGTGTAGAGTTCTTACTCATAAAAGTAGACAGGACTGAATATGCCCGATCTCATTTGATCTCGGAAGCTAAGCAGGGTTGGGCCTGGTTAGTACTTGGATGGGAGACCACCTAGGAATACCAGGTGCTGTAGGCATTAAGAAAGGAAGGAAGGGAGGGAGGGAGGGAGAGAGGGAGGGAGGAAAGTCGAACAGTCCTCAGTCTTAGGGAACAGTGACTCCCATTCTAGCCTGTCATACCCGAAATGTCTTTCTGCTTAAAATCTCTATCTCTTTCTGGTATGTTTCTTTTAATGCTATGATAAAAACTGATATTTTGATAACTTTTAAGTTAGATAATTTCTTCTCCCTCTATGTGAGTATTACAGGTTGGCCATTCTCCTCTTTACTATTTCTTTTCCACCAAGGAAAGGAAAGGAATTGTAATGGAATCATTAAGTTTGGCTCTATATGAGAGTCTCTAGTCAATTTTTCTTTGAGATTAGATACTGAAAACAAGTCGTTTCACATTTATCTGTCCTTTTAATTTATTTTTATTTCAAATTACCTCCCTGACTGCCACCAGAAGTCCTGCAAGTATCATATCACATCTAGTTTTACTATTGTATTGAGTAGTCATGAGTTTATCCTTCCGAGAAAAAGGGCACATAAGGTCACTGTAGGAGCAAAGAAAATGGTTTCTTTCTGGGAAAAATAAGCCTCAAATCATTTAAAGCTTCTGCAGTGAGTATAAATTTAGTGACAAAGATTGTCCATTCCAATTAAGCAAATCATAATTATCCTTAGTCCTTCACAATATCTTTAGTGGATCTTCGCGTTTTTTCTATGTACAATGCTTCTGAATTTTTGCTGTCTCATAAATTTGGTATAATCCAGTACTTGAAAATCTTTTATATTTTACAACATCATGCTATTGCCAAAGAAATGAAGAAAAACAGTACTAAAATGGTTTTCTTTTTTTTATGGCCAAAAAAATTAAAGTAAATTACTGAAATGTGAGGTAAAATCCACATTTAATAAAGGCTATTGGGTTATCCGTGCAGAGTGTGGTTTTGA